ATCTTATATAAAATAGTACATGGAGACCTTATTTATAAGCTTATTAGATAACTACTTAAGGTAGCAAGATAAACATAATATCAAATCTAATCAATCAAAGATATGCACTATTAAAAGAGACATGCATAATCCCGAGATATATGCAGAATTAAATAGATATCATAATAGTGCTAACATTCCTCCAATGCAAGTAAATTGGAACAAATCAACTCGAGTTGAAAAATAATGTTGACAGTGTCCCAAAATCTTCGATCGACATGAAATCAGATAGCGGAACCGGCAATGCACGGTTGGCAATGGAGGATGCGTGGCGCAGCTGCACATAGGGTGCGTGCGTTGGCTCTAGGCTTCCAATGACGGTGAGATTTTAATATGTTTGTCATTTGATGGCGGCGAATCTAATGGTGGAGTTGGCTTCTCGAAACGAGAAGTGAAAGTCGAGAATCAGAGATATTAGAGCCGAGCAACATGCGTCCTTTGCAGTTGACTTTGCTGTATGGATTGTAACTTAAACACGGCCGATACGGCTGGCGTGGTTACGACAAGCGGAATAAGCCAAACTTGGCTAAGGGAAAAGTTACTATGCGATGAAAATTACCTCCTTGAAAAAAGAAAACATTGACTTGATGATGTGTTGTGGACGTCATAACACACAACCACGATGGTGCTTATTTAGACGAAAATAAGATACCCATATGAACATTGTCGAGCGGGGATGGATTTATTTTGCACTGAGAATGATAAAGTGGAAAAATAGAATTGGGCAAATTTCTGGGGTGCGTAAGGTGAACCGAGTGTGAAGTGCACCCGGTGTACTAAGGGCACAAATGATAACCATTATGTTTCCCTTTTTTCAGTTTTTTTGTTCTCGGGAACATATTTGGAACATAAATCCGTTTGTTAAAATAATTTCATTTTTTTTATTTCAGGAACAAATTTTGGCCCATAAATAGATTTAGAACAGAAATGAGAAGTTAAAGATCATCGCCACCTACCGTCGCTCGCTGTCCGCCGATGCTTGCCGGCCGTTCGTTGCCGCTCATTGGCTGCCCGCCACTGCTGCCCCCCTGCCGGTTGTCTGCCGTCGCCTGTCGCCACCATCGCCGTTCACTGACTAGTGGGAATAGAAATTTTGCATCGTTATCAAACGAATTTCAATTTCGGGAATAGAAATTTTATGTTTTTATCAAATATTACTTTTTGCTTAGAAAATCGTCAGGGAAAGAGAAATAGAAAGGAGGCTCTGGTACCTTTTACCTTAATATGCAAAAGAGAGGGATATGAAATTTCTCTATAGTTCGATATTATATATAAAAGAGTACATGGAGAGCCTATTTATAGGCTTATTAGATAACTACTTAAGGTAACAAGATAACATAATATCAAATCTAACCAATCAATGATATGCATTATCAAAAGATATATGCATAAACCCGAGAGATATACATAATCAAATAGATATCTTAATATCACTAACAGGAGAACATAAGGAAATGAATAGCATCACTAGAATTAGAGCAAAATGGTATTGTTAGCAACATGGAGGGGTAACAGAGTAGAATGTGTGGCCGGATTGGGTCAGCATCGATGTAGCGGTCCATGTTTAGAACGGTGACTTTGTGATTTCGATCATGTCTGTATAAAGAACCACATGTCTCCACCATCCACTCGAGCGTGTGCTCGGGTCCATATTTATCGGAAAGAGTCCTGTTCTGGCGCTAATCGTAACAATTTGACTCTACCATTTTACATGGGCCGAGCCCCTCATGGATACATGTTATCTGTACAGAGAGATTTCTTGAATTTTAATATGCTTTGAAGCGACGGTGACTAGCCCTAATAAGCCACCGGGGATTATATGAAACTTTTGAGCTGGAACTGCCAGGGGCTAGGCAATCCCCTGACAGTCCAGCATCTCAGAGCCTTAGTGGCTCAAGAAAGGCTTGACTTAGTCTTCCTGATGGAAACTAAAAACAAGAGACCGGTCGTTGACAGAGTGAAAAGAAGAACCAACTTCCAAAACATAGAGATAATAGACCCCGAAGGTATCGCGGGGGGTTTGGCTATAATGTGGAACGAAGGGGTGACGGTGGTGGTGGAAGATTCCTCTAGAGAATTTATAGACATTTTGTGTAGAGATCAAGATAGTGGGACTCTCATGCGCATCACTTTCCCGTATGCTCCCACAAATTTCCAGGAAAGACTCAGGCTGTGGCAATATCTACAAGTAATAAAGGTAGCTAATCCCCTCCCTTGGATATGTGCCGGAGATTTTAACGAAATATTGTACCATTGGGAAAAATCAGGTGGTAATGGGGCGGAGCACTACAGACTAGTTGCATTCCAAGACTGTTAAATAGATGCTCACTAATGGATATCGAAAGTAAGGGATGCGCATTCACCTGGTCCAACAATAGGGAAGGAAATGCACTCGTGTGGGAAAGATTAGATAGAGTACTTTGCAACATAAATTGGAAAGTGAGGTTCCCAAATGCGGAAGCATTCGCTTTACCTGCTATAGGTTCCGATCATAGTCCTATTCTGCTGTCCCTCCAACCAAACAGGACTAAAAGGAAAAAAGTTTTTAAGTTTGAGGCGTATTGGCTGGCCGATGTGGAGTGCAAGGAGTTGGTGAAGGAAGCTTGGGGTGTACCGGAAGTCATTCCAATTTCGTTTGCTGGAAAATTGAAAAAGACCTCAGATGCTCTAGAGTTGTGGAGTAAAAAGAAATTCTCCAATGCCCACAACAAGATCGAGTTCTTAAAAAGAAGACTCTTGACCCTTACAAATGCAGGTAATGGTGGTTCCGACAGAAAAGAAATGCAGCAAATCAAAGTGCAAATCCAGAATTTGTGGAAACAAGAAGAGCAATATTGGGGCATGAGATCAAGAATTAATTGGATTAAGTGGGGAGACAAAAACACGAAATATTTCCACGCCGCCACAGTCCAAAGAAGACAAAGGAATAAAATTTCAATGTTGAAAATTGAAGACACATGGTGTAGAGATCCCAACAACATAAACCAGCACATCGCCAGTTATTATGAATCCTTGTTCGAAACAGTGGGTACCAGGAACTTCAGCCCAATTCTAGACCAATGCTCTTTTCCAAGCCAACATAAGATGAATGAGGCATTGATGGCAGCGGTTACCGTAGAAGAGGTCAAACAAGCAGTGTTTCAGCTAGGAGCAACAAAAGCCCCAGGACCAGACGGGATGAATGGCCAATTTTACCATCACCATTGGGAGGAACTACAACATGATCTACACAGTCTTGTCAGCAATTTCTTCCTATCAGGCTACCTTAATCCAGAACTCAACAAAACACACATTGTGATCATCCCTAAAGTCACCCATCCAGAAAGCATCACACAATTTAGACCCATTAGCCTATGCAATTTCAGCTACAAGATAATCTCAAAGGTGATGGCGAATCGCCTCAAACCCTGGCTTCCGAATCTAATTGCCACAGAACAGAGTGCCTTTGTGAGTGGGAGGTTGATTCAAGATAATATAATCATAGTCCAGGAGGTCCTACATCAACTAAGAATTCGGGAAAGGAAAGGAAGTTTCAGGCGATCCTAAAGTTGGATATGCAAAAAGCTTACGACAGAGTGGAGTTGGACTTCCTTTGCGCTAGCATGGTGAAAATGGGCTTCAGCCAGGAGTGGGTGTCATTAGTGAAGCAATGTATTTCCTCAGTCACATTCAGCGTTAAAGTGAACGGTGAGCCTTTAAAGTACTTCCAACCATCACGGGGTATTAGACAAGGAGATCCACTATCTCCTTATTTGTTTATAATCATGGCAAATATGCTCTCATCTCTACTAAGAAAGGCTGTTGAGGATGGGAGTCTGAAAGGCATCAAACTGAATAGGAACTGCCCAACGTTGTCACACTTACTTTTTGCTGATGACGCTATTTTCTTCCTGGATGGGACAATAGGGGAATGCCAAAATCTGGCAAACATCTTAAACCAATACTGCTTCGCTTCAGGACAAGCAATGAATCTAAACAAATCCGGAATCTTTTATAGTGCGGGCTGCCCTCAAATCCTCAAAAGAAATTTGGCGAATGAACTAAGAGTTCCAATTATGGAGAAAACCGGGAAATATCTGGGTATCCCATCAGATTGGGGACAAACAAAAAAACAGATGTTCGCGTGGATATTGGCAAGGGTAAATATGAAGTTGGAAGGCTGGAAAGAAAAGCTGCTCTCAAAGGCGGGTAAGGAGATTCTAATCAAAACAGTGGTACAATCACTTCCCCAATATGCAATGTCTATTTTCAAAATCCCAATCTCCGTGTGCAAAGCGATTGAACAAAAAATAGCTTCCTTTTGGTGGAAACAGAATTCTTCAAAATCGGGCATCCACTGGAAAAATGGGAACTCCTTAAAGAAAGGAAAATAGATGGGGGATTGGGCTTCAAGGACTTAGTTACCTTCAACAAGGCTATGCTAGGAAAGCAAGCGTGGAGACTGGCGCAAAATCCAACTGTGTTGTGGTGCCAACTACTAAAAGGCATTTATTTCCCAAACAGAAGTTTTTGGAAAGCAACTAAGGGCTCCCGGCCCTCGTGGGGGTGGCAAAGTATATTAATGGGAAGGGATACCATATGCCCTGATGTGAGATGGCACGTCGGCAATGGTGAGAGCATCAACATAAGAGAGGACAAATGGTTGGAAAGGAGAGTCATAGGAGGTCCAGCAAACCGGGAGGACCCACAGAGAGTCGTAGAGCTGATAGATCAAGAGACAAAAACGTGGGATGTTAATCAGCTAACAAGACTGTTTCTGGAGGAGATTGTGTCCGAAATCCAGGCCATAAGGATCGATCCTATCCAGGACACCGATAGACAAATATGGAATGGAGCAACAACAGGAGAATATTCGGTAAAACACGATTACTCCAGACTTCGAGCAGTTCCTTCCAAGCAAAATACAGAACTCGCGTCATCCTCTTACCAGTAGCCCCGCTCACTTTGGACAGAGATATAGAAATTACGCACAGAACCAAAAATTCGATTTTTCATATGGTGTGTGTGTAGTAATGCTCTGCCAACTTCGGAAAATCTATATAAAAGAAGGGCCTTACCTGACCCACTTTGTCCAATTTGCCAAAAACATCCTGAGACGATGGAGCACATCTTCACCCTCTGTGACTGGACCAACAACATATGGTCAGACCCGAGAATCCAGATGGACGTATCACTGATAAATCTAACAAGGATGGACAAATGGATCAACGAAGCACTCCCCAAAAGCTCAGTACAATCGGGTCGGGAAATGCTTGCAGGAGTCCTCTAGCAAATTTGGAAGGTAAGGAACGCCTGGGTATTCAATCAAATTAGTCTAAGCTCCGAAACAATTGTGGAAGAAGCTATTTATCTAAACAGAAACTATCGGGAGCAAAACTTACCTGAATCGAGGAGCTAGACGGCGAAAGCTAAGACAGAACGCTGGACGCCCCCAGAACCGGGAATTCTGAAATTCAACATTGATGGGTCTTGGATCGAAGGTAAAACAGAGGGGTCGGTGGCTGGGATATGTAGAGATTACAGGGGAGTGATTATTGTGGGGTTCGCCAAATCTGTGTCTGCTTCCTCCCCGTTGGAAACTGAAGGCAACGCTGTAAAAGAAGCACTTCTCTGTCTGCGGGCAGAGACAACGAAGAAGAAGGAAATATCAGCAGAGAAGATTAGCTTACAGTCAGACAATGAAGCCTCTGTATTTCTCGCTTATAATCTGACAGAAAGCCCATGGGCCTTGAGAAGCCTTTTTGTTGATTGCAATGTACTGCTCTCCCAATTAAAGGCGATTTCCTTGGTCCACTGTCCACGAAACAGCAATCAAGCAGCAGACTGGATAGCCAAAAAACATCAGAAAGGATTTCTACCATCCAACTGGATGTCTAGACCACCCCTACCTCTATGGGATTTATTTTGTATTGACTCTAGTCATATTCTCTCTTGTGATACGTTTCCTAGTGTTTGAATGGAAAGTAATACTTCGACCAAAAAAAAAAAAAAAGCAATGGTGACGGCCAGTAATTCCCATCTTTCTAAAAGATTTTCCAAAGCGATCGTTATCCTAAATGTCAAGAATCTCCACCAACTCGTCATAAAATAACAAAGAAAGAAGAGAGAATCATTGGTTCCCGGTGCAAATTGAAATTGAAAAAACAGAGGAAAACTTGCACGATAGAGAAAGAGAGAGAGGGCCGCAATGTAAATCCAAAATCGACGGCAGAGAGGAGCCGCTGGACGCAAAATTCAAAACCAACGGCAGAGATTAGCCGCAGCCGGGATGGGGACAGCGAGTCAGCCAGGCGTCACCCTCTTCCGATGGTCGTCGTCGTATTCTATTTAGCACTCTCCACTTCCTGGGAGTGGTCGTCGTCGCCGTCGTCGTCGTCGTCTGCGAAATTTGACAGCAAATCCAAGCTCAGTCCTTTAAGGTGCGTGACGGTCGAATTGCGAGGAAGGAAGAAGGGATGAGCAGATTGGCAAAGAGGGTGGCGTTGCTGTCCAGGTCGTCGTATTCCGCTGCCGCTGCACCTCCTCCTCGTCGTCCCTCCTCCGCCGCCGCCTGGAGATGGCTAGCTCCTGCTCGTCATCATGCCATCGAACCCACCGCCCACCGCGACGCGGGGATCGGTAGGAGGCACTACTCTTCGCCCTCCTCCTCCTCTGGGTACCACGTCAGCCCGTCGTCGTCGATGAAGGGGGCCGTGTTCCGGGATCCCACCCGCCCCCTCTCCCTCGAGCTCCTCCAAATCCCTCGCCCCCAGCCCGGCGAGGTCCTCATCCGCACCAAAGCCTGCGGGGTCTGCCACTCCGACCTCCACGTCCTCAAGGGCGAGCTCCCCTTCGCTTCGCCTTGCGTGGTCGGCCACGAGATCACCGGCGAGGTCGTCGAGCAACACCCCCTCACCGATCCCAAGATCGTCCACAGATTCCCAGTTGGGTCTCTCGTCGTCGGGGCCTTCATCATGCCCTGTGGCTCCTGCTTCCACTGCTCTAAGGTCGGTCCCTCCTCTTTTGTTCTTTTCTTTGCGACGCCTTCTCGGTCCTTGTCTTTTCAAGATTGCGTAAGACGATTCTCTTTGTCTCCCCTGACGGTTTCCCTTCGCGCTTGCTGATTTGACTTCAGGGTCATGATGACCTGTGCGAGGATTTCTTCGCTTATAACCGTGCGCAGGGCACCCTTTACGACGGCAATACTCGCCTTTTCCTCCACGGCACTGGCAAGTTCTTCTCTTCTCTCCTCGCAAATTTGTAGATGCATGTTACGCTTAGCCTTACCCCTTCTTATTAATGCTGTTTCATGTCCCAATGTGTGTACGAGTTACTTTGATCTCTAATTCACCACGTGTAGGTTTGATGGTTCTCCCTCTTTTGCACGATGCTCTCTGCCTGAATCTCGGATGTATTTGCAGGTGAACCTGTTTATATGTATAGTATGGGAGGGTTGGCTGAATACTGCGTTGTGCCCGCAAATGGATTAGCTGTATTGCCAGCCTCATTGCCCTACTCGGAATCTGCCATTCTTGGCTGTGCAGTTTTCACTGCGTATGGTGCTATGACCCACGCAGCTGAGGTGCGTCCTGGGGATTCCATCGCTGTTATTGGTGTTGGAGGTGTCGGATCAAGGTACCACACTCCAACATCATCTAAGCTACAGCCAACAATGCATATGGATATCTAGTATTTCGCTTACACATATCCGAAGTGACTTTGCCTAAATGAACATGGATTTTGTTATGTCGTGGAAAAATGCACAGCGATCCAACTATAGTTAGATGGAATGGCATACAACTGTAATTGAACATGGACATGTTTTTTTCTGGTAAATATGCACTAGTAGGTATGGAATCATCTGAACTCTCCTGGGAGCTTAGGTGATTGATTATTTTCCATTGATTTGTGCGAAAAATTCCACACTTCAATCATGTGCTAGAAATGTGATTGATGAACTCCATGGCAGTTACTATCTGTGAAGTTTCTACCACTTTGTCAAACAGTTCACCTTTTCTGGCCATTCTTATTTGATTTCAAGATTTTTCATGTCTCGGCCTTGAGAGCTCTCCAATTTCTTCATTTTGGAATCAATCAATAGATAGATTGAGGAACTGGGACACTTCATACTTTCCCTTTTCTCTGAAAATTTCTTCCCCTGCCAGCTGTTGTTGAATCTTGTCGAGTGGTCCCTAGATGAACCCTGCATATGCCCCATCAAAAAACCAATCTTAGTACCTGAATATACCTATTCATGACACAATGCGACTGACGGTTTCTTTGGTCAAGTTCCTTGCTGCAAACAATAACTTCAACTTTATTTTTAGGCATCACCTAAAGTCCCTAAATATCATGTTTAAGATTTCTAGAGACAAGGTTTACAGGTTTTAATCAACCTGCTTTTTATATACATCTGTTTTTCTAGAGACAAGGTTTCCAGTTATCCATCTAAGATGTAATCTAACCAAGAAAAGTGGAGCTTCTTTGACAAATAAAAGATAATGCTTAAGCTGGTATGGTTAACTTGTGCAATATGATTTATGTCGCCTGAACTTGTCATTTTGGTATGAGGGGAGGTCTGCTGGGCGTTCCATCTCATCCCTAATGCTTTGCCTCCTTTGATACCTTAGTCCTCTCTTCCTACATAAGTATGACCTTTTGAATGTTTCAGTTGTTTGCAGATAGCTAAGGCATTTGGTGCCTCTGATATTATTGCTGTGGATATCACTGATGAAAAGTTACAGAAAGCTAAAATTTTTGGGGCCACCCACACCGTGAATGCAATCAAAGAGGATGCTATTGAAAAGATTAAGGTACGTGCTCCCTTTTACAGTCACCGTGAGGTGTAAAAGCATGAGTCACAGATGTCTTCTCCCTCTATGGAGTTCGCCACATGGATCTTTCCACACCATGTTGCCCTATTTGATATGGTTTCTTATTGGTGCTCTAGGAAAATGGCATCTGAGAAGCTGGATGCACAATAATGTTATGCATTAAATGCATCCTCAAGATCCAATGGTTCGACTGCATGAGGAGCAATATTTGGGAGCATGTTATAACTGCTCATTTAATACAATGCTCGCAAGATCCATTTATTCAAGAATCAACATTCCTTTGTAGAGGTCTGTCCATGGTCTCTTGGTCAACCCATCCTTTCAACCAGCCCTAGACGTACCATCTTCTCTTTACAGCACTTTAGGTTGTCAGTTTGCATGGCTACACCATCTTAATCCTGGGGGGAGGGGGAAGAAGATTGATTGGCACTTAGTTACTGGAAGAGGTTAAGATGGATAAATAGCGTGTGTTAGATGACTTGATATAGATTAGCAGGTAAATTGGTTGAACCTATGAATGATTTTATGCTCCATACCCATCAATTTTCACTTTCTGCACTTTGCTTTGACCTTGACATGCTCATCTAGCGATTGACTTCCAGTGTGCTTTGCGAATTGGCTCAATTTGCTTTCTGCAATCTCTTCTTATTATTACTATTATTGTTATTAATATCATTATACTCTTTCTTGACTAAGTGCTTCCCCCATCTCTTGGCAGACAATAACTGGAGGGATGGGTGTTGATATTGCTGTAGAAGCTCTGGGAAAACCACAAACGTTCATGCAGTGTGTACAAAGTGTTAGGGATGGTGGAAAAGCCGTGATGATAGGACTTGCAAAATCTGGTGCTGTGGGGGAGGTAGACATAAATCGACTTGTCCGCAGAAAGGTGAATAGCTGAGTCTACTTGTGATATGTGTGAATTTGTTTCCATTTGCATGACACTAGTTACAGAGTTATCTTGCGTTCACTAAATGACGTTTTAACTTGCTGTTCCCTCGTTATTAACTGAAACCTTCTTGTTGAAAAGCAAGGGAGTTGGGAAAGAAAGGAATACTGAAGGACAATAGCTGTTTTACTTGTTCAGCCATTGTCCTCAAAAGTAACCTATCTGGTAAGGTGGATGCTATTGGGTTTTAGGGCCTTCAATCTTTCTGAAGAAATGGTGTTAAGAGCACAGTTTGTAAAACATGTTTCGCAAGTAACAAATAACAGGAAACTGTTTTTTCATTCCTTTTGGACCAGGTTGGTGGGACTACTTAAAGTAATGATTTCTGAACTGCATGTTTGAAATTGATGGCACTATAAACACAGTGCATCAACGTGATGTTCCCAGTACTTTAATGTATTTAGAATGAAGTTTTGTAGTATACTTCCATCTTGTTGACATTAACGATATGAGCATTTCACTAGAACCATGACTTTATTCTGGCTGTTATGACTTATTATAATGGCACGAACTTCTGATGTTTTATATCATAGTGAATTTCAGATATTCCTTTTACGAACTTGAATTCTTGATTTTGAGTCTTGATAAACTTTTGGCTGAAATTCTGCTGATTAGTTTAGAATATTTTGTTAACGAGTGTCCCAAGGGAACTTGTTAAGAAACCAATTGGGGAAACTTTATAGTTTTCAATGGATTAATTTTCCTCCTGTTATGTATTATCATTGGCTTGAAAATTGAACTATTCTAGATAAAATTTACTCAAAATTTGTTTCAGGAGCACTCATCACACCCTAGTGCAGATGTTCATATCATCATGAATTTTAAAGTGGCACCTAGAGTAATTTGTTCTCATTCTTACACTATTGTGAAGAATGATTAAGGATTAATAGGAAAATGTATGGTCTCGGATCAATTTGCTGCATTAGGACTCGAACGATTTAACTATTAGCAATGATTTTCTCAATCAGATTAAAGTCATTGGCTCGTACGGAGCAAGAGCAAGGCAGGATCTTCCCAAGTTGGTCAAGTTGGCGGAATCAGGGATCTTCAATCTCACCAGTGCAGTTTCAAGGAAATACACATTTGAAGAGGCTGGCAAAGCATTTCAAGAACTTGACCAAGGGAAAATTGTCAGCAGAGCAATTGTCGAGATAATGTAGTCCATCACTCCTACACTCAGCTCTTGATGCTTGTTAAAATGTGTGAATTTGCAGGTTAGTGATCAGAACGCACCTTAACTTGAATTGGCTGCTGTTTCTAATAAACAGCCAAAATCAACGATATTTTCTGCCCTTTTTATACCTTGTAATATGGGTATATTGTGGCATTCTGTGTGTGAAATTGCGGTGAGTGTTGGTATTTCCTAAAAAACGCTAGCAACTTCAAAAGTCTGATGGTAAGTTATTTAACCTGCGACATGTTAGTAAGTTATCGATGGTTATTTAACATGTGATATCTTAGTAGTTACTACTAGTTTTGTGGAAGTACCAACAATTATTTGAGTATTTTAAACTAGTCTCTTTAAATTATTATTATTAACTTGTGTAGGTTATCAAAGTACTAGAGTTACTGATTTCTATAGAAAATTTACAACTTTCATTTGAGTCCAGTTATCGACTTTTAGTTGATTGTTTCAAAGTTATCAAATGTTCAAAGAACCTACTAATATTCATTTGGGAAAGTCACCATCGTATTATAATTACTTTGCTCTTACAGCAAATTGCAAATATTAATTTGAATGATTTACTAACTTTTCGCTTATTAATAACAAGTTTTAGTTTTACGATTATAACTTTAATACGTTGGAAAGCTTCCCAAAGAAATCTGGCTAAATTATGAGAACAGTTGGAACAGACTAATAGTTAATATACTTTTGGAACGGTTAAATAATGGAAAGTGACTCTAAGAGATGGTAACTTAAGCTTTGGAAATAATGTTGGTAAATTATTGAAATGTAGTTCGCGAGTTGAAGAGAGTAGGCAATTTCTTGTACGAGTAGTAATTTTAATATGTCGGTAAGTTGTCCAAATTATATTTGGTATATAATTGAAACATTTGTTATTTTTGAAACGATCGACCAAACATTACTATCTAATCTAATAAGAGTTGATAATTTCGCAACCTTTTTTTGGTTGGTAAGTTGTGATAGATCTCAGTAAATTATTGGACCAATCAGTAGTTTTATAGCAATCAAATAAATATTGAAAACTAACTCAAAATCAGTTGCTACTTTTATGTAAGGGTCAGTTTCTTTAAATAAATGTTGAAAAAATCGAATAAAGGTCGCAAATGAATGTTGGTATATTTATTAGAGTAGTTGGTAATTTTGAAAGTAGTTGGTAATTTGGTATAAGAATTAGTAGCTTGTAACTAATAAATGTTGGTAAATTATATGACTAGTTATTAATTTCCAAACCTATCTATTAAACGTTGGTAAGTGAACTCAAATGTTGGTAAGCGGACTCAATTAACATTTCCAGGCCAATCTAATAACATTTGAACAAATTACCAACGTTGATAATTTCCTAGTAGAGTCATTAACTTGAACAAATTGGTAAGTTGTGCAAAATAAATCTTGGTAAATTTTGGAATAGTTAGTAATTTCGAAACAATCAAATAAAAGTTGATAATTTCATATAAAAATTAACAATTTTAACATTTTGCTAATTTTAACAAATAAAAATTGGTAAAATATTTGAATGGCTGGTAATTTCACAATCAAATAAACATTGGTAAAAGATTCAAATAAGAGGGGAAATTGTCCAATCAGTCCTAAACTTATAGCATGGATGCTAATTCATTCTAAATTTTTTAATTTTGCCAATTTAGTTCTAAGTCTTTGCACGAAATTTCAATGTAGCCCTTTCGGCCAATTTTTGACGGTAATCGCTTTTGGGATAGTGTGCCATGTAGGAGGCCAGTCGCCAGCGATGATTGGACATCCACATTAGCAATTTATTGCGAAAGTTGACCGGAATGACTATATTGGAATTTTCGTGCAAAGGTTTAGGATTAAATTGGCAAAATTGAAAATTTTGTAATTGAATTGGCATTCATATAATAGGCTTAGGACTAATTGGAAAATTTTCTCCATATAAAGAATAGTTAATTTTTCTCAGTTTCACCGACGCTTGATGGACTCAAGTGTAACGTCCTGAATTCGATCCACTTTCGTAATCAATGAAATGTATTTCTCATTCGTTTTAGTAAGTCTCGCCCGGAACTGATCATTCTCGGGATACTGACTAATAGGGAAAGGCTAACTAGGAAAACGGTACGTGGACCCAAGAACTCGACCGTGAATTGAGTCCGATTCCGAGAAGCGACGAGGAAATATTTTGTACCAATGTGGGCCGATCCAAGGAGTGTGACGGATTCGAATTGGCCAACGATGTACGATCGGATCGCGGGTGATTTCGCACGATCGAGAGTACACGTGGTGAACGGTCCCGAACTTATTCCGAACGATCGCGATTCCCCGAAACTAGTGATAAATCCTCGTGCTCTCTGGGAAATAGAGATCGTCGCGACTCGAGTAACCCTAGGTTGATACGCGTAATCCCTAAACAGCCGGCCGTTAGTGAGAGACGCTAAAATCGCAAATCGAGCGAAATCGATTGTGGAATTGAGTCCGGACTTCGATGTCGAATTTCGTGGGCGTACGCGACTATTTAGCAAGGACGACGTCATATTTATGTGGTCAATTATATTTGGGATCGATAGAGTCAAAAATTGAAAATTTGACCGCGGATCGGAAAATTACCGTTTTGCCCCTATGTCCCTAGCCTTGTATTCCGAATTTTGGGATTATTTGGAGATTATTTTAGAGTTTTAAATTGGTTTATCTCAGCCCAATAATGCTGGAAATAATGGTCCATAATGCCCCCAAGATATATTAGCAAGACTTGATCATGGCCATTGAAATAAGGACTTGATAGTCATTTGTTGGATAGTTTGGTCACCAATCCCACTCACCAATTTGGTTAAGCTCTCCACTCACTCTCTCTCCTCTCATTTTTCTCACCATTTCATCCGGCCATTTCCTCTCCCCCATGACAACTCCCTCCTCTTCATCTTCCTTCTTGCTCGGCCGTGAGGCCCCTCGCCGGAGCAAGCCGCCGCTCGCCGGAGCCGGAGCCATCGCCGTCCGCCCATTCTCGCCTAGCACCACCACCATCCAGCCGTCCCATTCTCTCTCTTCCTCCCTTTCCCATCCGCGTGAGCAGCCCCCGCCGTGGACCGCCGTCTGCAAGCCGCCGCCGCTCGCGCCGCCGTGAAGGCCGCCCGCCGCCGTCGCTTGCGCCGCTGTGGAATCAGCTTGGTCCGCCCACTTCCCCAGCCTTGTTAAGCTTAGTTTGGAGCTTAGGAATCCAAGTGAGTACAACCCTAAACCCTAATTAGGCTAATGTACATTTCTAGATGAGTTTTAGGGGTTAATTAGGGTAATTTAGGGGTTAATTTGTGGAGGATGTTAGGGGCTGACTTTAGGGCGAATTTGGTGGTTTAGCGTGATAATTTTAATGAGGTTTAGCGGCCTAGAATGTGCTGCGTGATGGCTGGAAATATTGGATTGAATCGGCCCGAGTTCGGTTAAGTTGGGTTCAATTGTGGAATCTCGAGTGTGCCTCGCATTGTCCTCATGGTGGCTGATTTGGGTGATGTCTTGGGGGGCCTAATGAAGTATTTTGAGGATAATTATTGGCCTAGAGTGACCTGTTTGGTGGCTGTCCATACCGGGATTGAATTGGACCAAGAGTGATCAATTTGGGGTTTAATTGTGTAATTACCGGGAATGTTTGAATTGACTGATTGGGCGGCTGAATTGTCATTGGTTGTGATCAATTTTGTGATGCCATGTCATATGCTTAGTGTGACCAAGAATGGAGTAGCATGGCGGGCCTCGAGTGCGCGAGTTCATGTTGATCTAATTGTGTGATTTATATGTGTAGATTATGTACCATGCAAGAGTGATTTGAATTGCTTAAATGGACGTGCTAATATGTTGGTTGGGCATATTGAAATGTGGATTGAGCATGTTGTGGCATTGTTTGGATTAAATAGCCAAATCTTATTGAGTGCCCAGTGTGAATTTCACGAATGCCGAGTGTGGATATTGTGGCCATGAGCGTGCATACTGAGTTTTGGCATAACATGTGCATTATGCGTGTGTGCACGAACGGCATGCACATGTGATCACTTAAATCGCCCTGATGTGTTTTACGCGGGGTTCAGATAATAACTGGTGTATGTGTACGTGTGATCACATAAAAGCTCTGATGCGTCTTACGCGGGGTATTGAACCCGTCCTGATGCGTTTTACGCGGGACGATGCCCGGACTACCGGAAGATGACAAACCTGATGCGTTTTACGCGGGTCGGTGAATTTGGCAAATTGCAAGTGTGCGAAGGTGCGTTGATGAGACATGAGTATGAGTGTGAGCACGAGCATATGCATGACATGCATCTTGGCTATGTGATATGTGTAGATATACCATGGCTGAGTTCGGTGCCATTATTGCGAATATATATATATAAAGTGCCTAACCTGCAGGGTCACTTAAATATTGGATTTGGGCCCGAGGGCCTAAGTCATTTATGTTTTGGATTGTGTGTTGTTTAGTGTTTGTCAGGAGGTGCATGTTAGCCTAGTTTAAGTTTGGGAGGCCTACTCGCTGAGATTTATTCTCACTATTGTATAAACCCAATTTTTCAGACCACCGGCCTTGAGATGTCTGCAGTACCTATTCGTTTTGGGGTCCTTTACCGGATAGACCGGGAGGAGACGAAGTACCCCGTAGGGAACGGGGATACATATGTTAGATACCTGACTACAATTTGGGTTGATGCGGGCGAGCAGCTTGACCAGTCCCACATGTACATAGGATGGTGTATTAGGGATCATACAGGGACTTACGGACCCCTTCGATCTTTTGAGGTCCCATTTAGCGAGTCAGGGGATGTTGACCCTCAGTGTCTCGATGGGGACTTGGCAAGCCCTGACCGTGCGTCCAAGGAGAGCTCTAGTGCTGACTTAGGGCACGGGCCGGATTTTTGGGAGATGGACGAACTAGAGCAGACGGAGGATGGGGACCCAGGCCCGGAGCCGATGGATTCGGAGGATGAGCCAGAGCCGATGGAGCAGGACCTCGAGCTAGAGGCCGCACATGAGGAGGACGGTTCAGACGAAGAGTCATCCGGGATCGATACCGAGTTGAAGTCCATGGAGTCCGAGCCGGAGTCGTCCGAGAGTTCTTCTGACTCGTCGAGTTCTGACTCAGACTGGGAGCCCTACAGTAGACCTTAGATCCTAGTTAGGTCGGGCCAGTACCTTTTTGACCGGAGCCCCACCTAGTTTTAGTACCCCTGACCGCCCGGGCCACTTACCCCTTTTTGTCAGTAGTGGCCATTGACCCGCTTTTGATTTTTGGGCTCATGCTGTATATGGATAGTGTATATGTTCTCCCTGTTAATGCAGGTGTATATTTTTTAATGTTGTTGTAGTGTGTGCTATCCTTGGTCATGTGTGTTTAATCGTACGGGCGTTTATATTGCTTCCGCATGTGCTTGATCTCTGTGTTGGGCGTTGGGTCGGCGACGCGTCCTGGGACATCGCATTCGAATCGACCTCGGTTGGGTTGTCGCGCGCGCCGTAGGGTTCGGGGCGTGACATCCCCGTTTGATTTGGTATCATGGTTCGGGGTGTGACATGAAGCGGAGTATTTTTTTTACTTTTTTGGCTTCAAACAAGCCAAATACTCTAACTCAAATACTAGGGCAGAAATAAACAGTCATCCAATCGATGAAGTCTTCCGGGTGAAAGACGAGTTTAGTAAATTTAATACGTCAATAAGCTACACAAGTAAATGATGGTAAAGTATTAAATTCATTGGAATGCTGGAACCATCAAATAAATGTTGGTAACAAACTCAAATAAGAGTTAGTAAAGTGAAAAAATTGTCGGTAGCTTAAATCGTGAAAATTGTTAAATCACCCAAATCAAGGCTGATAATTTCCTATAAGATTTAGTAACTTTAATGCATTAGTAACATTAACAAATAAATGTTGGCATGCTGTCGAAACAATTAGTAATTTAAAAAAAATCATATAAACATTGGTAAATGGACTTAGATAAGAGTTGATAATTTTCTACAAACATTAGTAATTTTAAAGTATAGAAAGTCTCCGACCTAAAAAAAACAAATGTATAGAAACATTTATAAATATATATTGGTCAATTATTGAAATAGTTAGCAACTTACCAATACATTACTGTCACGTGTCATCCAACTCAGAAATTTGACGATAAAATTTAACGGAAACTAACAAAGGGTAAAATTGTCACATGTGTACTAGTTAGGGGTTTTTCATGATCAAAAAATTAGTTTGGGGTAAATTTGTCACAAATGTACCAGTTTGAGGTTTTTCGTGGTATTAACCCTAAGAAAAAAGAACTCCTAAATATTGCAAATACTTGTGCAAAAAATGCATTGACATATTAATTTTACCAAAGTAATGATGTTATACATTTTCTTTTGCCTGAACTACTTAAATCCAAGAAGGAAAAAGATATTACACGAGTAAGTTTGAAGTCCTAAAAGTATAAGAAAAGCTAAGTATATTAATTGCATAAAGTCTTTCGTGGTCGACTAAAGCAAGAAAACTTCCAAGAGAATAATTCGTCATAAGGCCTCTATGAGAAAATGCCAAGAAGAAAGGAAGATTTTGACAGGAAATTCAACTTTAAATTGGCTTTGGATTACATGCCTGATGCTTTCAGCATATTAGCCCTGAAGCTTCCACAAATCATGGAAAATGCTACTGAAATTGCTATCTTATATTCTAACAATATAATAACTTAAGGGCCTCAATGTAAATGGCTTAAGAGATTTTCTGGAGGAAAAGGACATCTAGCTGATGAGCCAATTGCCCAAAAGGAGATAACCTTTTCCGATGGAAGTGGAACATACCTCAATTCATAGACGGAATGTGTGCCTGATTGCTGAGAAAATCCATCCTGTTCAAATAGATTTTTAATGCCTCAGTTTCCGACCAATGCAAATGAGAAGTATGGAAATACAAAGGTTTTCAATATAACATCCAAAATGAGATCCCAATTTCAAAGACCAGTACTTACCACAAGGTCATAGAATGCAAAATAATATTAAGGGAACTTCTCGGAAGCACCACTAAGGGATATCTATGTGGCATCTAGAAGGAGAAATATCCTCTCTCGCACTGGCAAGTCAGTCTGAAAGAATTTTCCATGAGTTGCATTATTTCAATTTTGTCGAACCATTTAGAATAAATGACATCAAATGCAAACCTTTTTCTTAACTATCTTCACAAGAATAGGGAGAATCCCCAATTCAATGACTTGGTTATGAACAGGTTCTCCAATATTGTTCATCAGCATCTCCAACAACTGCAACACAATAGACCTTCTTGAGAGAGTCGTTAAGAAACAGCGAAGTCGACTATGGCAGGTGTTGCTGCGAAAACTATCGATGCAAAAAAAGATAAAAATTGAATAGCATTCAGGAAAAAAATACATGAATAATGAATTATAAAACTATATTAAACCGTGAAGAAAGTTATAGAATGGCAACAAAAGAATCACACTAACCATGACTGCATAGACTTGTGCATTTGAATGTTTATTCCCCAGTCGTTTTTTGATGGTCTTAATAATATCGTTCGATACCCTGCTTGGTTATTGAAGATACTGTGTTCATCGCTTATTATAGCTGAGATAATGGTCTAGGGGTGATCGGTTCCTGATTCCCAATTTTGAGAACTGGGGACCGAACCGGTTGGTCATAGGACCGACCGATGGTCTGGTCCGGTTCCAGTTCGGTCCAATGGAATCGGTCACTTTTTTATTTTTTTCCTACAACAAGAGAGTGACAAATCTTGACATATTGACGGAAGCGACGATGAGTGACGAATCATTGTGGGGCGACGATAAGAGGAAAACGTTGTACGTGGGTTTAGTTCACATTTTGCTAATTTTTTTGAAGAAATAAAAAATAAAAAAAATATTTGTTGTTGGTCCGATCCGGTCCGGTCCGGTTCCCCCTTGGAACTGAGAACTGGACCGCCTGGACACCGGTTCCACTTTTAGGAACTGGGAATCGGACCGACACTCCAGGGAACCAGACCAAACCGGCCTGTCTCGTCCAGGCGGTCTTTTTTGCACACCCCTATACCGATATAGCGTCTAAGTAGCATTGACTCGCCGACACGTCATTTCTAAAAAAATAGATAATTTCGACAGGTTGGGATACGTTTTATATTAAATGTATATTTTATATATACATGATAAATTATCATTTTTATGATTATTTCAATCAAATTAATTTGATTCAAACCCACAAATAAATAAATAATAAAAAAAAGAGTGTCGGATGAGTGTCGGTGTCCGACACGTGCGACATGTGTCCAACACTGACACGGAAGCCCCGGAGAGTGTCCATGCTTCCTAGGCATATACATTTAATACTAGGATTGTGCATAAACATGCCCTAATCAATGTTGAATGTTTTGATAAGTAATAATGTACCCAGAGGGTAAGCAACAGTTGAACTGTGATATTAGGAAGAGCGCCAATTGAATTGGTTTCATATTCCACTAACCCCCAAACTTCTTGAAATTCGACTTTGGCCCAAGTTTCCTAAAAAGATTACAGTGAAGTCCATGTTTCCTAGAAATTTAAAATAGCTGATACATTTCAGTGTCTCTAATCAATTATGACTTCAGATCGTGTATATATCCAACTTGAAACAGAGAAGCCACCTTTTGTTCTAATTCAAAATAGTTTTTATAGAGTATTCCCCAAGAGTACACAGTGGCTTCATTGAGCATTCAATTTACAATGAGAATATGCTATTAAAGAAAGGATGGAACTCCTAGAAGAGATATGAGAACCAATTGCCTGAGGTCTTCATTGTATTATCGCTTATTGGTTCAATATTCCAGCTTTAGTTCACCCTGTTTTGCCTCCATTTTAGATCTTGTATCTCTTTTTTTCGTAATTGAAAAGGGCAACCGCATAATGTTTTACCTGTTACATCTATATGTTGTGCCAACAAAAACAATGTACAAGAAAATGAGCACTTCTTTTACATTCGAAACTTTTTTTCTCTTCAATAGATAAATAAGTAAAGAGGGAGGGACAAAAATTTATCTTCATGATTTATAAAAGAATGATAAAGGCATGATATTCACTAAATCTTCAAACGCAAAGTTATATTGTAGCACAACGTAACCAAAAAGCATATCAAAGTAGAATGATCCGACGAAAAGGTATGACAATAATTCTAGACAGAGAAACGAAAAAGATAGCACATATATCAAACTGAGAAGATCCATGGACAAACTAGGTGATATTGAGAAACTCCTTTTTTCTGAAATTGCATAAGTTGTCATGAAATGGTTTTCAAAATGTAAGCGGGGCATATTTCTCAACACTCCATCTCACATGTAAGTAGCAATTCACATGTGAAATGGACCTAACCTCGTTAAACAGAATAGGAAGGCAGGAACACAAGAACATGATATCAGACAAAATAGAAATAAGAGAGATTGTAAGAATTCAAACTCTTAAATGATGCTCTAGTAATACAAAGGGACCCTTTTTCTTCCAAAAGTTCTGGCAAAAGAGAATTAGGCTGCGCATGGCAACCATTCTGTGCCCGGAAATAGATTCTGGTCAGAAATGATTCTTTTTTATTCTATGCCCGGGAACTGATTCTGAGCATTTGAAGGCGTTTGGTAACGGCCCAAAATTTCTATTCCTGAAATAGTAAAAGAACAGAAATGTGTTTGGTAACGGCATAAAATTTCTTTTTATTAATAATATTTTAATAACATTTTAAATATTTTAATATTTCTTTCTTTTCTTTTTTTCTTCTCCTCCTTCTTGGCCATGGCCGGTAAAATATTTTTTAATTAATAATAATTTTATTAAAAATAAATTTTTTTTATTTTTTTTGGCCATGGCCGGTAAAAATTTTTCTTATAAATAAATTTTTTATTAATAATTTTTTTAAAATATTTTACTAAAAAATATTTTTATTCTTTGTTTTGCTATGTCCTGGACGCTAGCCATGGCCGGTAAAATATTTTTTTTATAAATATTTTTTTATTAATAATATTTTTATTGAAATTATTTTTTTTAATTTTTTTGCCATGGCCTGGTCGCTGGCCATGGCTGGTAAAATATTTTTATTGAAAATATTTTTTTATTTTTTTTGCCATGGCCGGTAAATTTTTTTTTATTAATAATATTTTTTTTATTTTTTTTTTGCCATGGCCTGGTCGTCGGCCATGGCCGGTAAATTTTTTTTTTATTAATAATATTTTTTTATTTTTTTCGCCATGGCCTGGTCGATGGCCATGGCCGGTAATATTTTTTTATTAAAATATTTTAATCTCACCAAATACGGCGAGGGTGGCCCTCGAGCCGGACATTAGAAGCTATATTAAAAATCAAGAAAAAGAAGAAGAAAAAAAAAACTGATTCTCATTTTTGTTCCCAGAATCAAGAAGCTACTTTTTTTTTATTCTTGATTCTGCTCCAAAACTGATTATGGGCACAAATTTGACAAATTTGTGCCCAGAATCAAAAAATTAAACAAACGGATTTCTATTCCCGAACTGATTCTGAGAACAAAAGAACAGAATCAAACACTATTTGGCAAGTTGCCATGCGCAGCCTTAGACCCGCAATGCGTGTGAGAGTTTGAATCTTAACAAGACCCCTTACTACATATTTGATATCTAAAAGGTTTCTAAGTCATTGAACACACTTCTAAAAGTCAATATGGGTAAATACTAATTAGAAACATGAGCGTGACAATGGGCCAATACAGAGCATTATGGCAATAACATGTATATTAACAAATTTAGTCCACTAAGAGCAAGAAACCTATTAAAGCAACATGGTAAGTTTGACCCTAATAACCATTTTAAGGGGATAGCTGATAACTCTATAAAAATAGAGTTATTTTACCTATTTTAGGTAATAAATAATGCAATATTTGTTAGAAATTATTTAGATTTCATTTTGTTTAGTCAAATTTCCCTTGTTTATGCAGAATAGTGAGACATGGAGAAAATGCTGTAAATGGATATTGTATATGTTTCCCCGATGTTAATGCAAGTGTATATTTATAATGTTGTATGTTGTTTGTGCTATCCTTGGTCGCGTGTTTTAAATTGTACGGGTGTTTATGTTGCTTCCGCATGTGTCTTGATCTCTGTGTTGGGTGTTGGATCGGCGACGCGTCCTGGGACGTCGCACAACTTCGACCTCGGTTGGGATGCTCGTGCGCCGTAGGGTTCGGGGCGTGACAGACGGATAGTCGTCACGTGCGGTTTGGAGACCGGGAGTGACCTTGGGCATTTGATGCTTCTTTTCATCTTTGGATGCTCCTCTTTTGTATAGTGAAGTAGGCTACCCAACCACTGTTCCCTTTTGATGTTGTGTATTTGTGAATGCTGTAGTGCTATCCCTTGTCATTAACTATCGCCAGGGTTATTTGATTTTCACTTCCGCTTGCGTGCGTCTTTGGGTGTTTCGTATGGGTCGGCGACGCGTCCTGGGACGTCGCGTTCAATACGGCCATCGAAGGGGTGTTGCGAGCCCGTTGGGGTTCGGGGCGTGACAAACAAACTCAAATAAGAGTTAGTAAAGTCAAAAAATAGTTGGTAGCTTAAACCGTGAAAATGGTTAAATCACCCAAATCAAGGCTGATAATTTACTATAAGATTTAGTAACTTTAATGCATTAGTAACTTTAACAAATAAATGTTGGTATACTCTTGAAACAATCAGTAATTTTAAAACAATCATATAAACATTGGCAAATGGACTTAAATAAGAGTTGATAATTTTCTACAAACATTAGTAACTTTAAAGTATAGGAAGTCTCCGACCAAAAAAAAATGTATAGAAAGATTTATAAATATATATTGGTCAATTATTGAAATAGTTAGTAATTTAAGCAAATAAGTACTCGTTGGTACTTCCATAAAAGTGTTGGTAACTTACCAAGAAATTATTACCACGTGTCATCCAACTTATAAATTTAACGGTAAAATTTAACGGAAACTAACAAAGGGGAAAATTGTCACGTGTACTATTTTGGGGTTTTTCGTAGTCAAAAAATTATTTTTGTCACATCCCGAACCCTATCGAGCTCGCGACATCTTCCTCTGGTCGATTTACGTGACAACCCAGGAATTATCGCCGACCTCAACCTAACGTCAGAGATTTAATTGCGCACACGGAAACCATAAATACCCTGACAAATTTAAACTGGGGAGAATTGGGGGAATATACATTTCCATTACTCGATCCAACTTATTCCACCATATTTACAATAGAACAAACCTTAGTTTACCAGTACACACATTCCTAAAACCTTCGAAAGTGAGAACAAAAACAGACGACCTGGCATACTAACTACCAAAAATGTTACCCTTCTGAAAACCCACCGGAACTCTGCCACATCGTATTCCGTGTGCACTGGTATCCCAAAACGTACTGGCGGCGGTGGTGGAGGGTTCATGGGTCCTGTCGGGGTTCTGAAATTATTGGTTGAAAACAACCATGAGACACTTCTCAGTAAGTTCACCCCTAAACCCAACCTAGGCTATCACGTACCTCCAGACAATTTCACAAAACACAATCACACACTTATATTCACGCACGCTGAAACATCACATCGCAGGCACATCAAATAATATTACCA